ATATATATATATATATATATATATATATATATATATGTCTGAGATAAATTTCAACTATTTTTTTGCGGAATCATCCGCCTTTGTTTTGCATGTCTATAATTATTACATAAGTCTGCTCAGAAATAGTGCACTATGAAAATGCTTTGCCCTATATAAACTAAAAATTACTCAGGCGAGACAAAACCTGCTTGTCTGAGAAACACTGAGAGGTGAAGTTACAAAAAGTTTATTTTTCTTTTGTAAACGTGTGCATACGTAAAACCACAATAATAATAATAAAAAAAGGCTCGTCGTGAACCCGTGCCCTTTCTGTCTGTCCTGAAGTAACACGTGGAGAGTATTTTGGTCGTAGTTCCACTGCGGCTTCCGGTTAAGTTGTGGCCTCGACAGCCCCCCCCCCTTTTTCTTGTTCATCTGTCTAGATCTTTCACATGCAGACTGGCATGAAATCATCATGTTCAACCTCCACTGCATGTCTAACCTCAGAGCGGCCAGAGAACGCAAACAGCATTACTGTTGGTTTGTGTGGTATTGCGCTGTCTGGAAGAGTCCGGGCCTGCTCTCACTGCCAAGAAAACAGGAATGCATCACTACGGCTGTTTGTAAGTGAGGGTGGATTATTGAAAGGCACAGTATGTACGATTTTTTTATTAAAATATCCAAAAACCACTAGAACGGTGTTATATATTTTGCTGACTTGTGTACTTACATTATCCCAAATGTTTCGAAGAATGTTTAAATCCAGAGAAATAAGCACGTTCAGCGGCCTCGTTTCGCTTCGACGGCTTTCAGCCTCACCCTGCTTCATTCTACTACGTTAATAAATCATTAGCTCATCCATGAACATGATTTCTGCCCGAGTCCCGTCGGATTGCATCGGCTGTGGGGATGAAGACCACATGGTGTGGAATCCCATGATTCCACACTCAGTCACTGCGTCATCAAACTACGCCTTTGTCTATTTGTTTATTTTGAATACACGCCCTCCAGTGGCGAAAATTACATATTGTGCCTTTAAGAAAGCCAGAGAAATAGACTGTCCATTTCAGGGAGAATCGGGCAGGCCATGGGATAGTATGCCGGTGACCAGCCGTAGTGGTATGTGTGAGTGTGTGCACACGTGATTTGATTGTATCTTGTCTTTGTGATCTGGAAGTATTGAGTTCTGTCTAAAAATCTTTTGAGCTGCCTAGACAGCATTTTAAGTCATCATAGTTGTATCGTCGACATAAAGGCTGTTCTGAAAGTTTGAAGGCTGGACATTGCTTCCTCATTTTACCCAAAGCTTGCATTACATGTCCTTTGAGGAAAAGCCAATCCCAGAATACACCACACAAAAACTCCATCCAAGAATTCAACACTCAAACATGTTGGTAACATCATTGTAATCTAAAGTTGATTATTTTAACCAATATTGGTTTGTACCACATATTTTTATGCTTATTAAGGTATCACTTCGTTAGCTTAGCAACATGCTACCAACAAACTGCTGGAATTAAATGTGAGAGTGCTTTACTTGAGGAGCATATTGTCTGACAAAAAAATGAGCAAAAAGTGGACCATTATAAAATAATGATTGAAGCATACGGTGTTGTCACCTCGCATTGCCTGCATCTTGGCCAAAATGTTGTGTCATGCCAATGGCCAGCTAGCATGTACGTTCTGCGTCTGCATGAAAGGAAATAACTCTCCAGACCAGCAGGTGGCAGTAGCCTATATTCATCATTTAAAAACGACAACCAAAACTAGGACTTGCTTACCATTCTGAATATCATTCATATCAATAACATCCTTCATTCCAAACAGCCATGTTTTTCTCAGCCAATCAGAGTGATCTGTTTACCAGAATGCACAACACTGATTCAACATGCTCAATCAGCCAAAAAGCTGTAGATGGGGTCAGATTAGTGGTGAAGGTGCGGAGCAAAAACTGTTTTAACAGATGTTTAACGATGGCTCAATGTTGACCGAGTGTGTCACGGCCTTCAGCTTGTCACTGGGGCAGTACCCCTTAAAGGGACAACTTGGTACCTCATCTTCACCTAAAATGTGCATAATAGTAACGAAGAATAGCAATATGTACCCTTAAGCCAAAAGTATACTTTAGTTTTGACGCGAACACTTAGCATAGGCATATAGTGCACAACCTTTCAAAGTGTACTCCATTTGATAGCATGCACAAACATAGATGCTCGACACATGCACACTAGTCTGCACTATTTCTTTGCAGATGTTATGAGTGATAAAAATCAAATAACTAACTAAAAGCAAACTTATTAGAAAATCAGCGTGATAAGAACTACTTAAAATGTTGGAAAGCATCTCTGGGAAAAATTTATTTGAAGTGTAATTAGATTTTTTTTTAGTTTGGCTCACGTCCCATTCGTTTACATGGAGAGGGCAGGTTTTATGACCTATACTGCAGCCAGCCACCAGGGGGGCGATTTAAATGTTTTGGCTTCACTTTTCAGGTCGTGTGCGGCACACTTGGTTGGGACAGTGTTGCCACATTGTGGACAAAGTAATTAGTGCCAAACAAAACCTCAAGATGCATGTGTGAGCAGTGCCGATCCTAGACTTCTGGGAGCCCTATGCAAAACTGTGTCGACGGGGGCGGGAGCGGGGGCAGTGGAGTGGGGTATGAGTGGTTATGAACGTATTCTGCATTCTGATATTTACGCAGAACATACTGATTTTTACCTAGAAAGGGCGACAGCGCACCACATTAAAAGAAAGGATCATTCATGTTTTCATAACCACTGGCCAAATTAAAAAACGAAACTAAAATTAAATCATATTTGAGAGCAAGGGGGCCCCCTGGTGTTTCGGGGGCCCTCCGCAGCTTGCGTATTTTGCGTATAGGGAGGATCGGCTCTGTGTGTGAGTGTACTTTGTTTGAGCTGAGTGTAAACTGTACATGCAGTTAGAAAAATCTTACTGCATTTGTACTATGCTGATGACGAAATTTACGTTACACATACTGTACACAGAAAAAAAAACTATAAGAACCTTAGACATAATTTAAAAATAGGTTCTTAGACATAAATAAGGTACAGAGTTGTTCCTTTAAATCACTGCACCTGGTGACAAGCTGTTTCACCCCTAAATGTACATTTTTTTGGACATTTTCTGCTATGTGGAGTGCTCCATATGGGTCATTTAGGAGCTTCCATGGCGGCTATCTATGTAGGCAGCTGACAGCAAGGCACTCTAGGTTTTGGAACAGAGCTAGAGTGTGGGAGAAACTCCTAAAATACACTTTGTGGGATAGTAGTTTTTTTTCTCATTAATATTTAAACATTTTATAAACATGCTGCTCACATTCAGAAAAAGGAGTCTTGAAATGATATGAATATAATATTTATTCAGATTTTTGTGAACGTATGAGATATGTGATATTACATCAAACACATTAATACAAGTTATAATTCAGACATGAGGAAACAATTAATCTTTTATTAGTTTAACATTCACCTAAATACTGATGTGCAATACATTCATTCTAGATATTGGGACAAAAACAAGCCATAGAGTGTGTGAAAGCCAGAGGTCAAAGTTGAGATGCAGGTTGGAGGTGTCCTCTAGTCCTTGTGGTTTTGGGTGAGGAACTGGAGTGAAGCCACTGGTCTAGCCAGACCAAACTTTTCAACAAATGCCTGCGGATCCCAGTTACCTAGAAAACCAAGAACAAAGTCTGTCTTTACTCTCATCCGTGACTGTATGTTTCTGACCCACTGTAGCAAACTGGATACATGAAAATAACAACAACCTTTCTATATGACACAGACCAACATCCTATTTTAATAAGAAAATCAACACAAGAAAAAAAAAGTGCTCATCAAACTATTTCATGAGTTCTTTCAAACATATGTGCCACATGGTAAAAATGTATCCTAAAATGTGTAATTTAATAATTAATTTCAATGAATGAATGAATAAATCTATTATATTTATATATTTTATCTATTGTTGTTATTTGTTTCTTTATTGCTATATAAATCAATAAAATTTTTATTATTATTTTTACTTGTTTATTTATTGATGCACATAAATCAATAAGTTATTTTTGTTTTTATTGCTACTCTTATTTATTTCTTTATTGTTGTAAATAAACAAATAAACATCGTTTTGTTATTACTGCTATTACTTTTTGTTTCTTTATTGCTAAACATAAATGAATGATTAAACAGAATAAATGTGATTAAACAAACAAAATACAGGTGCATCTCAATAAATTAGAATGTCATGGAAAAGTTAATTTATTTCAGTAATTCAACTCAAATTGTGAAACTCGTGTATTAAATAAATTGTCAGGTGTTTACTATTAATGATTTCTTTATTGCTGTAAATGAAATACATAAACATTATTATTATCATCATATTTTGTTATTATTGGTATTTATTATTTTATTGTAATAAACAGCAGTTTATTGCTGTACATAAATCAATAAACAACAAAAATCAATAAAACAAACAAATAAATATCATATAATAATAATGTGATTCAGTAACATTTAGTCCACTGGAGTCAAGTTGTGATTAACCCAAGTGCAGTTTATTTAAAATAATCCAAACAAACGAAGACTTGACTTGAAACAGACTTGACTTGGCATGGCATGAACAGACTTGACCAGAAACAGACTTGACATAACAGAAACACAACTCACCAACAGCAGGTTACACAGTTTAAAGCTAGACAAAGAACAAAGGCAACATGAGGGCTATTTATATCAAACAATGAGGGTCACATGACAACCAACCAATGAGAAACAAGACACATGACTAAGACAACCAATGAGAACATGACACATGAACAAATCAGAACCTAACACACAGACAAGGGAATCACATGACAGAACATGACTGTGGCCAAACTACAAAATAAAAGACATTGAAACAATGAACAAGAAACAAAACCCAAAACAGACAATACATATCCCCCCTCTAAGGGCGGCACCTGACGCCCTAGTGAAACACCCACTCTAAAACAAACAAAACCCAAAGAGTCCGGGGGGGGGGGGATCATGGGTCAATGGTAGAACTAGGCTGTGGAGCAGTGGCAGGCCTGGGGCATGGAGCAAAGGTGGGCCTGGACCATGGGGCATTGGAGCACCTGGACCGTGGAGCAGAAACAGACAATGAAGAAGTGGAGGACCTGGACCGTGGAGCAGATGCAGACAATGGAGCAGAGAGGGACCTGGGCCGTGGAGCAGTGGCAGACTGTGGAACAGTATAGCATGTAGCCATGGTGGAGCAGGAAGCCAGGGCGGAGCAGAGACATGGACCGACCACTTGACTCTGACAGGACAGGCAGAGAGTTCTTGAGCAGCTTCCATAGCCGCAACATGACAGACAGAATGTTCATAAATTACCTCTTTGGTCGTGACAGGGTAGACTATGAGTTCATGAACGGTCTCCATGGCCATGACAGGACAGACAGTGAATTCATGAGCGGCCTCCTTGGCAGTGACAGGACAGGCAGAGAGTTCCGAAGTGGACGCCGCCACCTCGGGAGGATCTGCAGTGGACGCCGCCACCTCTGGAGGCACTGGAGTGGATTGGTGGAAATGAGACGCCTCTGGGGCAGGCTCATGGGTAGGAGAGGCTTCTGAGGCAGATTCATGTACAGAAGAGGCCCCTGGAGCAGACTCGTGGACAGAAGAGGCCCCTGGAGCAGACTCGTGGACAGAAGAGACGTGAGCAGACTCTGAAATGGCGGCCATGATGGGACGAGGCTCTGGAATGGTGGCCATGTCGTGACAAGACTCTGGACGATCAGCTGCGACGTGACTCTGGACGATCAGCTGAGACGTGACTCTGGACGATCAGCTGAGACGTGACTCTGGACGATCAGCTGAGACGTGACGAGACTCTAGAAGGGAGGCCATTTTGCGAAGAGACTCTTGTGTGGCGGCCATCTTGCGACAAAGCTCGTGAATGGCGGCCATGTTGTGAAGAATCTCTTGAGTGGCTGGCATGACGCAAGCAGGCCCTGGAGTAGCAGATATGACGTGAGAAGGCTGTGGCTTGGCAGACATGATGTGGGCAGGCTTTGGCTTGGCAGGCATGACGTGAACAACTCCTGACATGACGGTCGGGACGTGGAAAAGTTCTGATGTCGCGGGTACTGTAGGATAGCTGTGTTCCTCCTCAGCAACCCCCACAGTAAATGGTGAACCAGCCAGCAACAAAGCAAAGTCAATGTATTTTTCAATACCATTGAAAATCCATTAAGGGGTATTACGTGGCATTAAACGAGATACATTTTTATCCAAACCATAACGGAAAATGTCTTTCAGGAAGCTATCCTTAAAGTCTACCTTATGATAAAGTCCACAAAAGTCCTCCACGTAATCCTCTATGGCCCGGTTTAGCTTTCTGTAACATTTAGTCCACTGGAGTCAAGTTGTGATGATGAACCTAAGTGCAGTTTATTTAAAATAATCCAAACAAAAGAAGACTTGACTTGAAACAGACTTGGCATGGCATGAACTGGCATGGCATAACAGAAACACAACTCACCAATAGCAGGTTACACAGTTTAAAGCTAGACAAAGAACAAAGGCAACATGAGGGCTATTTATATCAAACAATGAGGGTCACATGACAAGAACCAACCAATGAGAAACAAGACACATGAACCAATCAGAACATAACACACAGACAAGGGAATCACATGACAGAACATGACTGTGGCCAAACTACAAAATAAAAGACATGAAAACAATGAACAAGAAACAAAACCCAAAACAGACATTACAGATTTAAAGAAAATATTTTCTAAGTGTCAGTTAATTATAATTTTCAATTTCAATGTATTTATAGAGCACAATTAAAAACAACTACTATGGACCAATGTGCTGTACAAAATAAATGGACAAAATAAAGACAAAGTCACAAAAAAAAAAAAAATTATAATAATTATAATACAAATAAATAAAACAGAGTGAATCGATTTTAAATCATGAATTATAAGAAAAGTGATTTGGCACTATAATAACTTTTATACTGATATTGGCCTTTGTCACAAAACTCAAGCCCCTGTCAGCTGCATCATGTGTAACAACATGCGTCCCTTTCACTATTATCTGCACTTTTCACGAGTTGTCCTGTGACTGAGCTTCTCCGGCTAAACATTTGAATGTAGTTGATACAAATGGTAAATGAACGTGTTTAATGGAGAATCTTGTAATGCCGCACGTGTCTCAGGGCCTTGGTGGGCTGTGAATCACTGCGAGCGTCTCATCTCTAAATAAAACACACAGCCTGTCACAGTGCTGGAGGTGGCAACATGAGAGAGAGCGTTTTGGCAGGACAACTAGATAAATACCAGACGTAACTCCGGCTGCTATGACAATATCACTTCTCCAATTCCGGCAATAACCACATTCCTAAAAGCAAATGTGAAATCACATTTGGAATAAAGCGCCAACAAGCTGCGTCCAAGACTGAAAATGTAAAGTTCTGAATTCGGAGGCTCTTTAATTGTTCTTTTGTGTATATCAAGCAAACTACAACTGGTGATATCTTTGTAAAACTATTATTTAGAGATATTACTAAAACAAACAAACAAATAAATAAATAAATAAATAAATATACTTTGACCCCCCAACCAATCAAAAGTATATTGCAGAACAAAAGCAAAGCAGCAACAATGCCCATTTAAAATGGCAATTTCTTCCGCTAGCATCGTGCACAGACAAGCACGCGGCCGAGGCGGAAATGCTGCAGTGGTGTGGAGGGAAACCCCGTCCGTCCGTGCACACAGCACAGCACACCACATCCTGGAAAGATCAAATGTGAGTGTGTGTGTGTGTGTGTGTGTGTGTGTGTGTGTGTATATGCTTGTTTGTATGTTTGAATGCAAGTGGGTGTGAGAGTATGCAAGTGTGATTTTAAAGGAAAATATCATAGTTGCTTTCCACTGCTTGTTGCGGCTACATTATAGCCCACCAGGCACTGTCAATGAACAACTATGTGCATTTAACATTACATTTATGCAGATGCTTTTAGCAAAAACGACATCAAGGTATATACACTTTAGCAAGTTGTTCCTTAGAAATTAAACTCGTGACCCCAACGGTTGGCTGCTATGAACTTGTGAAAAAGAAGTGTGCTTAAAGGGATGGATCACCCAAAAATGAAAAATCTGTCATCATTTACTCACCCTCAAGTTGTTCCAAACCTGTATGAGTTTCTTTCTTCTGCTGAACATAAAAGACGATTGCAAATAATACTCGTAACCAAGCAGTTGCTGGTAGCCATTGATTTCCATAGTATGGAAAAAAAAGTACTATGAAAGTTAGTGAGGACCAGAAACTGTTTGGTTACCATCATTCTTCAAAATATTTGTGTGTGTGTGTGTGTGTGTGTGTGTGTGTGTGTATCTGAACTATTTTCAGATACTATAATATTAATTAAATAAAAGGCTAATAATGTCAAATAACATTTTTTAATTTTGGTAAGCTTTTAGACATACAAGTTTCAATAGAAATTACATTAAAGTATATTTTAGTTTACCATAAAAGCTTATCAGTACATTCAGCTGTACACTTTAAACATATTTAACCATTTATCCATTTTTAACCAAAGATAATAGAATTATAAAATTGCATATAGGCTAAGGATCCTACTTAAGTGGGTAAAAAAACACTCTTAAGTTCAACTAACTGC